GAATTAACATGAGAATGCCAAATGAGTTTTGAGGGGTATTGTAGAGGAATTTTAGGGACTATTATAAAGGTTAGATTAGGTTATCTTTATTAGCGAGACTTTCAGCCAGAAGCTCGTTCATCTCTTGCTATTATAAAAGAATTATGGAAAGATTTTCAATGGAATTTGAACATAAATTTCAAGTAGTATTTAGAAGAATTTAAAAAGGTAAAGGTTGTTTCCAAAGCAGAACCGCATTGTTGACTACGAGATTATTTTTGCTGCTCTATTCACCAATATATGAATAACAAAATAAACGGTTTAGAAACATAACTCCAAAATGAACAATTCATTATTAAAATTGTGGAAATTTAGCGGTTATTGAATGTATCCTCAAATTAAGATTCAATGTTTGAAGTTCGAAAATCAGTTCCTTTATTATTAATAATTAGGTACCAGACACGTTCATCCAACTTTCGGGAACATACTAATGTTAGTCATGATATAACAACCTTAGAAATAAAAGAGCAGTGGCTTTCAACTGCAACTTATTCATTTTATCTACTGCCTGTGCTCAATTAAACAAATGTTGTAATTGAATAAATGGAATGTCATTGTAGCATATAAAACTCACAACAGAATGGATCAAACTCCATATAAAGACTGTATCGACAATAAGTTGTAGGCAAATTTTTCTTTCCACTTCCATACAAAATATTTTATAATGAAAAAAAGGTTATTTATGTCATACCCTTCTAAAGAAGTTAACTTCACAAAAAAAAAATTAAAAATAATTCTTGAAGGTACTTTTATGATCTTTGAATTTGGAATTGTTATAAATTTTGGACAGTGTGACAAAACAGGATTTTCCAAGGGGTAAGTCACTCAGCACATTGTGCCGAAATTGTATTCGACACAGCTTGGGCACATCCTTCGGCACACCTTCGGCACAATCTCGTAAGTCTTTGATTGTTGTAAATAAAATGGGAGCACTGCTGGTCACAGAAGTTGTTCGCAATATGTATGATCAGGAACATCCTCTAATTAAATAAATCAGAGGAACTCAGACCAGCAGTTCACTTCTCGGTTCGCTTATAGATTTAAATCCGAAATGCCACTAGACCGATTTATCCATTCGAAAACTTTCAAGGTGTCACAAATACCGCGTTGCAGGGATGAGTATTTTACAAACAATCGCAGCTTGCTCTATGACCGGCACAATCGGCACACTCAAAAAAAAAAGGTGACCCAAGATTGGTGTACGGAGTGATTTATTTGTATTCATTAAACAACATACATTGTTCAACAATAATTGTTCGATCTCCACAACGTTGTCCGTTGAAATGTACGACATCGTTCTTAGCTTAAAGCTCATCCCACACCTGCCCGATACCATTCGGTCGCAGCGCCTGCGAGAATGTTCAGCACGACACACACAGAGAGAGAGAGAGGGGGGGGGGGATACATTTCACCTCTTGCTCCTGCTTGCTGCTTGCCAAGCCGTCCGAAGCGGAAATGAGCAGAAGCTCGAAAGCAGTGCTTTTCTATAACTTTTCAGGTTCAAGCGGAACGATGTGCAACCGAGTGGTACTCGATTATAATGACTGGGTTTGACGAAAACGTTTATTTCATAAAAAAACAGTGACAAAATTATCATTTATACATTTTTCAATAGTTTTTATGGAAAATTAGAAAAGTATTTATTTCAGCGAATTCGTAGAGTTATTTCCTATCGATTGGCGTTTTTGGGTTTTAATTTAATTTATAAATGACAAAGTTACAAACGTTCAAAATCTAACACTATTTCTCCAAGCATTTTTTTTTTTGGATTTGCACCCCAGTATAGTCCACAAAGACGTAGTTCTACGTCAAAAAAGTAAAGTAGAACTACGGGTGATTTCTGAGGTAGTTCTGAAGTGAATATTATGGAGGAAGAGGATTCAAAGTGAATTAATCGTAAGGCAATCTTATCTGTCATAATACCGAACCTGCAAAAAGCATGTCAAGCACGATACAGCACGACTGTCTCGTTTCCGAAAAGCGAGATTGCTCACAACATCGCCACGCATTTTGCAGGATCGGCATTATGGCTGGAGTATTTCCAGGCCAAATAGCAAAATTTATATAGGCCAGTTCGTTAAAAATAAAAGCTACCACTTGTTCCAAATGTTTGTTTTAGAAAAAGGTGCAAATTTTGTAAAAATCTACATTTTTCGGTTTTCTGAATACGCAATAAATCGCCGTAACTTTTTTTTACTAGCGACATCTGTTCCCAACCAAATCAACATCATTGTTAGTTAACAATTAAACAATTTAATAAGTTGGTGCACAGAAATACATCGGCAGTTAGAATAAACTGTACATTCATATGCAATAAATAAAACTTATGATTTAAGTGACGATATATTAGGGATTACTGATTTTTCCCGGTTCTCCCGGGTTTTTCCTCGGGAAATTTTCAAATTCTCGGTTATTTTTCAGTTTTTCCTATGCGAGCAAATAGGAGAGTCTTCTTAATATGCTGTCTTCGAAAATATCAACGCTCTTCTAAAGATCATTCTCTAGCTAATAAATTATCACACTAAAGCTTCATGTTAGCATTTCCAACCAACTCTGAAAATCGCTAACTTCGCGTATGAAGTAACATATACAAAAAAAAAAACACTTTGAATGTAACATTTTTACGTTCGATTCGAAAGTTCAATGTTGATGCTTTCATTTGGTATATTTAGAATTTTTGGTAGTCAGCAAATCCCCGACGTTTCCCTTTCGAATGCAACAACACAGACAACAAATCAAGAAGACTCTCATATTTTCTCATATGACCGCTAGTAGACAGACACAATCGTGTCATTTGTCATATTAAATTAAGGAATAATAAGATATTATGGTGATATTTTGTATGAGTAAGTAACAAGAAAATCTTGTAAAGTTTATGTTTGACACATAAAACCAGCAAGTTTAGCTTTGACAGAGTTACAATGAGCGATTTTCTGATCTTCTCTCTTCACGCAGAGTGAAGAGTGCGTGAGATAAATGACAAAATCGCTTATTGCGACTCTCATGTAGCAAAATTGACATGTATCAAACACAAACTTCATAATCTTTTTTTGATGTTTACATAAACAAAATATTACCATAGAGGTAACTCTAAGACTAGTAAGTCCCGAAATAATGTGCTCAACTTTTTGGCTCAGCTCTGGTACTCTCTTCGGTCCCAAGCTAATCGATTCACCCCTCGAAACATAGGAAAAACCAATAACCCCTCATTTTATCTGTCAAACTTTCATAGCGAATCAAAACAAACATTGCGTAGTACTAGAATTTCGACTAGAATAGGGTACGTTAATCGTTTGCTTGGGACCAATAGGCTACTAAAGTGGTGAGCCAATTTAAAATCGTTAGTTTCGTATTGATTGTTGATATTACCTTATCTTATTATTCCAAAATCAAAAGAAAGGTTTGCATATTTGTCAATTTTTCAATAGTTCTTCTACCTACTGTATTTGTCGGTTGGATTCTGGCAAAGTTGCCAGTCTTCTTAATATGATGTACTCGATTTTTCGCAGGAATTTTGAGAAATGTATTGATTTACAATCATCTAAGAATTTGAGAACCTCGAAAAGTGGTCCGGTTTTAGCGAGAATTGCTCATGTGTTATTCACGTTCCTGATTGTGTTTTGTACGTATATGGTCTTCTTGACGAAACATACCAAAGCCACTCCTCTACTTGCATCGTTGATGTGGCTGTCACGCATCCTGCCCTCCAGGTCAGACATATTTTGGTGATGCAGAGGACATGCTGACAAGATGTGTTCCGTCGCCAGCTGGGCCGACACACTATTTGTGAGAATATCAATTCTATAGCCAGAATCGGTGCTCTTGAATGTCTTTTTTACGTTACTTTTAGAACTTGTTAATATGCACATTTTTACTGTGTAAACAAATCGATGGTTTTACAATCACGCAGTACTAACATTTTATTTATAAACAAGTGTAGATCAGAGTCTACCAGAACCGATCAGAACTATCAGAGCAGGGGATTTTCAGAAGTTCCTCACACTCAACCCAATATATGATTTTCCAAATCAAGAAACTTTAACAGATGCTTTAACTAACTATTTAATGACAACATGTCACTTCGAATGTTCGAAAACTGAATAACAGTTTTAAGCATCAAGTTTCACATTTTGTTTTACCAATCAGCTGACCATGCATGATTTTTGTAAATCTTTCTGATACAATATCGTTTTACAACGAGATCGTTTTAGGAATTTATAATGTGGAATTTTTTAGAAGACACCCCTCTAACCTCGGGTAAGCCGCGAATATTCGGCCCAACTCCTACTAGACATAGAAATAAGTGAATTTTGTTACAAACAATGAACAATGAATTATCGGCTCCGTAAAGGTAAAGCTATTGAGCCTTCCAAGTGTACGGACTCGATCAAATTCTGGAATACTTAAGAAGTTCACCTAGCAACCCACTGAACTCTTGGGTAGTTTTTGAATTTCACTTTTAGCTTTTAGCAGACATAGGTATTCCATATAATGACATCTAGGTGGTAAATTGCGCGTTTATGCTATTTTTGGGTGAACGACATTCGATTTAGCGTCTAGCATTGAACGAATCTTGATAGCGATACATTTGATCTACTACTTCAATTACCTTCGGGTTGCATTTAATCCAAAACCAACGTAATGGAAACGTCCAACGTTTCGGAATAGTATACGACATTCTTCAGGGTAGCTCGTAGAGACGTTTTTCTTCACACAAATTCTTAAAGTATCACACATTTTGTACCATGAAAAATCAGACAGCACTCGATTAACACAGAATAAGAAATCATTTTATTTACAACAATTCATTCATCTCAATAATGGTTCATTAGTTTTTAATCTAGTCGTTTTAGTAAATTCAGGGATGAATCAAGCCAATTGAAAGGTAATCAAATTTGCTTACACTGGTACGCTGTCAATTCGGGAATATGACATGGATATTCAAACAAAACAGTGCCTACCTGTAGCGAGAAGGAAGATTTCGGCGTCGAAGGCACTGCGCTGACCGATGATTTCCTCTGCAATGGGAATTATGTGGCGTTGAAAGAAAAACACACACGGGGAAATGGGGACAGTGGTTAGTGGTTTTCTCTAGTCTGTGTTAAACAAAAATAGTTAACTCCTTGGGAAAAGGATTGGGAATGAACTAGGGTGGTTAAGGCATAGCAAAATCAAACGAAAATCTTCCACAATCAATGCGCTGCTGCAGCGGCTTGTGGCATTGCATGTCCATGCAGCAGCGGGAGATGGGTGGAGATGGGTGGAGGGTCATAAATTCACCAAGCTTCGAGCGATACCTGTGCGCTCATGCGGAGTCTGGAGGTGGCCGTGGTTGCGATTGAGCTAATCGTTCCCACCGACGTAAGTGATTCCTTCGAGCCAGACCGGGACAGGCGCGCCTTCCGGGAAGAGGGTGACAGTGTGACCTTGGCAATCGGGACGAATATACCGTATTTGTCTGGGCAATCAAAGTATCTGTGTTTTGAAGGATAGATAATTAGCTAAATTGCGGCGGGATTCGATTGCGAACGTATAGATCTTACCTCACGTCATCTACGGAGCCATCGTTTTTGCCACTAGCCTCGTCTAGCTGAACTCCACACCAGGTTCCACTGGCAAACTGAGTCTCACCGAGGTACTTCAAAATGCCAGGACGCGATCCAAATCCAGACGATACGATTACGCGTTCTCCGACTATTAGGGTTGCTGCCTCTGTGGATTCGATTAAATATTAGTTCTATCGAAAATTGCAGTGGTATTCAGCTAATGAACTTACTACTAGCGGCCGGTGATTTCGAAGCATAACTGGACACACTGTACGAGGGCGATACCGCTCCGGACCGAGTCGGTGAAGTCAACGAACGGAGGCTCACATCCATCGAAGTGTCCCCCGCAATGGATCCACCGGCTCCCGGCATCGGATCCCGCGTCAGTCTCGTCAGTCTGGAGAATACGCCCTTCTTGGGTTCACACTGAAAGTACCTCTTCCCGGAAACGGATCCATCGTTTTTCCCATTCGGTTCGTCGAGCACCACGCCGGCCCAATCACCGGGGGCAAAGTGTGTTTCACCGATGTACGCGATGTGTCCCGGCCGTAGTCCTCCGACCCAAACTCGCTGGCCAATGATGAAGCTGTCCGTATCGGTTGTCAGGACAACACCTTGATCTGCAATTGCAACGGGCAGAGGGAGAGAAATCGGATGTCATTATCATGGTTTTATGTACGCGGCTGATGACAAGTGTAGCCGCCTGAATAAACATTTGAACGACTGGCGAGAGCAATTTGGTGCTTGGAACAGATGTTCCAGCAATGCAGGTCACAAAATGATGGCAAATGCATGTCTGGTTGTTATTTTCCAGTGGACCGTTATGGGGAAATTGATTGTTGGGGTGCTGGCTCGTATTGTTTGAGCATGGCGAGCCAGAATTAATTAGTTAAATGATATTTGCTGGCCGCACCAGTTATTTGCAGCAGGCGATTAAAGTTGGGGTTATGGATTAATTGGCATTTATGGCAGGCTTATTTAATATTGCATGGATTAACATTAACTATAACATGTTTAGCTTAATCTCAAAATAACCTGAAATGTGATGCAGATTCGAAGGTCGTTTGTTCATAGTTTCATGTTGAAAATTGTTTGATTGTTTGTTTAAACATACGTCTGTATGTATGCATGCATAATCGGTGAGTCGCCGACTGTTCGTTTAGGTGGTTTGAGAAAGCTTAGAGGTTATAAGATTTTAAAATTTTATGGGCAACTGATATGGTTTTAAAATAATATTCCGATTAGCAGCTGTCCACAAACTACATAAACCAATCATGAGGGATTTCAGACCCAGGGTTCATGTCTCAAATATGGGCTTGTTTTAATATTTAGAGGGTTAGCCAAATTGCTTTTGGACAACACATAACAATGTTACAAACTGAACTTAATAAAAAATACAACATATAAGTCATTTTAGCACACTGAAAATGAACTTGACACTTTTTTCAAAATTGCTCCGAAAATTCAGATTATTATTTTTAAACAAAACTATTCAGAGGGCTGTACTTTATCAGTAGTGCAATTACAAATTCGACTATGTAGCATTCTACTAGATATTTTCATAAGCTTTCATGGAAAAGTATGCAAGGATAAATCAATCTGTTTTAGCTTGCTAAAACGACTTGTCTACCGACTCAATAAAAATTGAAAATCCAACAATTTAATTAACAATCGAACCAACCACAATGTGGCGTGACAATCGAACCATAAGAAAGAGGAACTAATTTCCTTTTCAACAAGATAAAAACATCAGAAATCCCCTTAAAATTACCGTGATTTTGGCTTGGTGCTCGAAGAGTAAAAGAGTCTTAGCAAAATAATATGAACAACTAAATCTTTGAAATAAGGTGAAATAAGCTGAAAATGGAAATTTTTCCTCCAAATAATTCACCGATTGGGTCATTTCATCAAACCTTTTGAGAAAACACTAAATTTTAAAAATTTCCGAGGTTGTGAAAACCTAAATCTAGCTATTTCAATTGTCGCAAGATTTACTTTTAATCCGGTCTGTGTTATTTCATTGACGGTTGGTCGGATAGACAATAGACCTAATGACCGTTTGGTCGAATGCTTTTTAGGGCATATAGATTTATAGATGTCAAAAGTGATATTAGAGACTATGATTAGATGTATTTTAGCTTTCATAATATTTATCATATCTATATAGACACATCAGCAGTTCTTAATATTGTTTGCCTTTTTTGAAAGGAGCTGGTTTTGTTTTTCTTAAATTTCATTAGACTATAATTTTATTTAGTTGAAGATGCTAATTTCAAATAACAGACTGTAGTGGTAATTTTTATACGATAGATGGAGTAGATGAAAGTATAGAGTTGATAGTTCCGTTAGAGTACGGCAGTGTGAACATTGTATATAGATAGTAGAATAGCGAGCAAGGCCAACTTTTAAGGAAGGCACAAATCGGTTTTTTCATCTTTCTTTACCAAACTCCCCCTTTGGAGAGGGAGTGTGAGGGGTGTCCCAGTGGTGGCGAGGGCGGAACTATCAACTCTATACTTTCATCTACTCCATCTATCGTATAAAAATTACCACTACAGTCTGTTATTTGAAATTAGCATGTTCAACTATGTAAATCGTTGACTTCACGCAGAAGTACTACTAAACATTTAGTCAAAGTATAATTTTTTTTATTATTTATTTTATTTATTATTTCACAAAGTTTTTCAGTTAGGTCAAGTTCTACTGTGATTTTGGTGCTGTGTATAAATTTTGCCAACAAATTATTATCCCTTATTTAAGAAGAGTCAGTCTTGAAAACAAAATGATTGATCATAGTCACCCTTTTTTATTTTATCACTCTCGAATCGGACGCTCACTCAAGCAACGTACTTATGACAGTTGACATTGAAAGTTGGTCACTCACCGCTCCACTCAATCAGTTGTGCTGTTTACACTCTTCTTCATAGCGAGTGTCATCTCAGCAGCAATTTTACTATCAATCAGTATTGTTGACATTCGTTTACCTGTCATTGATGATAATCGTGACATTCATTTTTCCTATAGTAGCCTCCGGTTCTAGCGCACGAAGAAACTGATGAAAATTTCATTTATTAATATCGCCTGAAGGATTCTGTTTTTTCAACGGTTATTAGAAAAGTTACCGTCAAACACCCCTTTGATAGCAGGGGAGACTTTGATCAGCTCGTGCAGCGCTGAGCTGCTCACGCATCAAAATTATCCCTATCCATTATCCAATCCATCATTGGATATTATCCCTATCCCTATCCGGATAATTTCATTTGTGTCAATAAATCTGGAGAACTTTGAGATTTGGACGTATTTGATTTTGTAACCAAACAGGCGAATCACCGATTTCACGCAAATAAAAGTTCGATCTCGCAAGGAGACAATACCAAATGATATGGGGATCATTCCTCTACCTGATTTTGGTGTATGCTTTCGAGGTTCGGATTTTATTTGCGAGAAATCGGTAGATTGACGTGTCTTGTTACAAAAGCAAATACGTCCAAATCTCAAATGATTTGTTAACACAAAAACGAAGCTCACGATCATCAAAACATCAACCATCATTACTTGTTGTCTGTGTCACACTCAGTCTTGACGTCTCATCATCTAGTCACTCAGTCGACACTCATGTTCCGAATGTCAGATATGAACGTCACTCTTTCGAAGGATTGTCAGATAGCTCAACAAGTCAGTCGAGGTTTGGTGTGGTGTCATCGGTGAGATTCGTTTAATTATGCTTTGGTCTTTTCCTTCGGCTACGTACACTCTCGTGACAATCGTGAGATTTTGCAACTCTGGTCCTTGCATGTTTCAATTCTGATTAGGGCCCATGCATTAATTATGTCACAAAAAAAAACAAATTACCCCCTCCCCCCCTATCGTGACGTTTTTCCTATACCTAATGCATTGATTGTCACAAAATCTTAGACCCCCTCTCCCCCCATACAGCGTGACATAATATATGCATCAACCCTTAATTGTTATGCAATTGCGTCTCCGAGATCAGATGCGGAGGAAATATCGTAAATAGAAATGTAGAATCGTAATTTAAATCTTTTTTATATGCTCCTATCGACTTGATTATAGTTTTAGATATTGGCTGTTCAGTCTTTGGATGGATGGACTAATTATTATTTAATCTTCGTCCAATGAACCTACCCTCATAATGGATCGACTAGTCATTATTTAATCTTCGTCCAATGAACCTAACCTCATAGTTTAAATTCGCTGCTGCATAAAAAGACCTCATGGAAATTCGAGTGAATTGTTTAAATTAATTCTATAATAAAGGGATAAAGGGCGAGCTCTTCTCCCTATTCATTGAAGCATCTTCCTTTTGGATGGCTTGTTTTCTGACCAATTGGCTGATCAAGTTGTTGGAAGGAGATTCTTAACTGTGCCAAGGAAATGAATAGGCGAATTGCCATTTATCATATTGAATGATTATGGAAAGCTTCAGGGGGGGGGGGGTCAACTTTGAAATGATTATTTTTTATTCTGAGTCTTGAACATTGTTTTATAATAAAGGGACTGGAAGTTTTTTTTTTATAGACATAAGATTTTAAAGAATTTATAAGATTTTGAAATTAAGGTGTTTCGCTGTGAGGTCCTTATTCTAGTAATCACTTCGAAGCTTTAAGTACACAAATATCAGCTTCCAGGACACGTACCACAATGAAACTGTTACTCCACGTTCGCTGCACTGCATCATACATAAAGTAGCAATTCCAGGTGGAATGATTCACTAATATCTGAGATTTGCATAATTGAAAATTCGAAGCGGTAGTGCATGTATAGCCTTCGTGGCGACCATTTGTGGACTCTACAAGAAATCACAATAAGAAATAAAAATCACGCTCTCGGACACATAAAAAGATAAAGGATCCAGAAAAGGCCAGAATCTAGGATCTTATATTTTTTTCAAGATCTCATACTTAAAAAAAAATATTGACATCTCGAACTATAATATTTGTGCATGATGACTAACAAAAGCCTGCATAACTCTGGAACTGCGAAAAATTGTTTTTAATTAATTAGGAAAAAATAAAGGGGCCTATGAATATAGGGTATACGTCCCTAACCTCGGTCTAATATGCAGCCATAGATTACGTTTTTAATCATAACTCATCAATTAATTTACCTGCAAACGATATTCTACTGCTAAATGGTATTCTTAGATATGCTCATCATGTCGTTTGCTATCAGGAACCGCAAAAAGTTGAAAAACTTACTTTTTTTAAGACAAAAACTCACCAGGGAAATGTATGTAATATCGGTCTATTGTCCCCAAATTGGGTCTATTTATGGATGCAACTTCGTCCTATCCTGTTTGATTCTCAAAAAAAACGCTCTTGGTAACGTTTTCTTATGTATTTTTTTTTATCACTATCACTGTTAACTTAATACTCTTCATTCCTCAAAACATTTCTTAGAGAAAATTTTACGAAAACTACATTAAATCACTCAAGTTAAAAATTAAAAATTAAAAATTTCGCTTATCGTCTTTCGACCGCAGAATATCTAAATCAAAACATTGTGATGTTCATTATACAGATTTGGCAGAAAAAATCTCCCTTCCTGTTCGTTCCTTATCATCCAAATGCAAACCACATTGTTGACGTTACTCTTATTGCTATATGCTGTCAAATGAATTTCATGGGCCAAAGTTAGGAACATAGAAAAGAAATGTGTCCCTAAAGTTGGGTCCATGATTTACTTGTGAAAACGTTGTTAAACAATTAAAATAAACATAAAATATTCAAACAGTAACTGTGAGTTTTACGTCTAGTGTGTATTATCAGGTAATTCCATTCAATAAATGCCATAATCAGGCCATTTGATGATCGTCAGTGCAACCTTCCCATCTTAACCTTAGAAGTCATGGCGGCTAAAAACTCCGAACAGAGTGATATTCTCAACCAGTTTTATTACTTACGAGAGCTGAAAATGTATTGAAATGTTGTGATATAAATTGATTTGTGTGTGGTACACATTTATCAATCATCAGTGATCAATATTTTCCTTATTTTTTGTGTAATATTCCTTAATTAATTATTTATTTGCGTGATAGGCCGAATGAAAGGACTAGACCCACATTACATACCGTAACCCTAAATCAAGAAAAAACATTTGAGAATCCAGACTTTTGAAACCAAATCGTCTGTTTGTATTAAATGTTTCAAAATCTTAAAACATAAAACAGAAAAATTTTAACTTCCAAACTATCGCTCTTCGACAATGTACCCCTCTAACCTCGGGTAAGCCGCAAGTATTCGGCCCAACTCCTACTAGACATAGAATTAAGTGAATTTGGTTTGGCGACAAAAACTTTGACCGAGCTTTAGACAAGGATATTAAAAACAGCTAGCTAGCTAACAGCAATGCAGAATTGTAAACAACAACTAATATTTTTGAAATGCGGTCTGAAACTTCAGTGCAATATAACAGACAAAACACAGGAATACAAATGTATAATTGTCGCAGCCCACATCTACCAGCTATTCCTAAAAATCTCCTTTTCCTTGTCTCTACTGCTGCCACTGCTTGTAATTAGAAAGGTAGGCTGTGAATTTAGAAGAACTAAAATGTCGGACATGCAACGAGTGACACAGACACTGACGATATTTAACAAATCGAGCTATCAAAATATGTGTAACGCATTGCTGATTTGTGGAGTTGTGTTAAGCTTAAATAAGGCTTGTTCAATCTTTAGGTCAGCTAACTTATTGAGGTTGGATTATGGGGGTATAATTCGCTTCATGCACTACTAATCAACTATATATTCAGCCTGATGTTAATCAGCTTTGTACACCTAAAATCAACCAATAATCAGCTTCTGTTCTTAATGTTCAGCTTGAATTGTAACTTGGGATATTCGGTGAAAAATTACAGGAAATCTGTAAAAAATCACCGAACTGTTAACCGAACGTTCAGCTGTTGAGATTTCGGTAAAATAATCTAAGTGTGTAGTTTGGATTTTTTTTATCTAGTTCGTTTAGAAACTGGATATCTTGAATATTTTCTCTTTGGATATTGGAATCTTTGATCTAGTTTGGATTTTTTTTTTATCTAGTTCGTTTAGAAACGATCTAAATAAAAAAAATTCAAACTAGATCAAAGATTCCAATATCCAAAGAGAAAATATTCAAGATATTCATCGAACATTAAAATCAAGTCAAAAGAAGTCAACAGCAGAAGTTGTACCTCTCGATGTCGATCACGTTCAGATAAAAACAATAGAAGCTAGCTGTTTTTAATATCCTTGTCTAAAATTCGGTAAACGTTTTTGTCGCCATAAATAAAAAAAAAACAATTTGATGATGAATCTAGAAGTTAAGACTACATTTTGCTTACATTTCTCCAAAGGGAGCACCAGCTCGCCCTGGGACGATTGCCAACTTTGTGAAAGCACTGAATTCGAATGTTTTACGGATGGGAGCTACTTACAAGATTGGTGGATAGAAAGCGGCTTTCATTAAGTTCAAGTCGGAACAAGGTAGGAAGGGCGCTCTCATGAAAAATTCATTCGGAACAGCTTATTTTTCATTATGCTGGTGAAATTACACCGGAGGCCCGACATTCCATACTTGCTAATGTACGATCTTCCACCAGAAAAACCCAACCGCAATTTATTGTACGGAAAGTGGACCTCAGCAGTGCTCAATAAGCCTTAAATCAAATCACCCTAACAAACATTGAATCCATTTGGTTAGAAACTAACTGTGAACAACTTATTTAAAATTGATGTGTCAGTCAAAATGCGAACCAGATGATTCGAGAGCCACCTATCGTTCACACCGTAAATCAGACGACTACGGTGAGCTGGGTGCGTCGTAATAATGCCACACGACACCCCAATTAAAATTTTTCTCGAAAATTATCCGACTGAAACTAAATCGTTTGAAAAAAATCATGTAAAATTATGCGATATCTAGCGCACACGTAATTAACGCTATAGTTGATGTGAATTTGCTCGATATGTCATGTAAATTTAAGCGCGATGTACCATAAATCAGCAATGTTGTATACAATCTTGCAAACAATTTCGAACATTTTCCCAACTTTAGCTCAAAATTAAACGAGGAAAAATTTTACGCGATGGGTTAAGTTCAGAATTATTTTCTGTGTAGAATTTTTTTCGTAGGGTTTCTGGCAAAAAAAATCAGCGGCGATTGTAGCTATATGAGTAGAATAATAAAAATCACAGGGTGAAATAGAGCAAAATGAACCACTTCCCGGGCCCTGCGCCAATCGATTTATCGGCAAATTTTCGATAAGAAAAGCATCACTTCCCGTTTGAAATCCAGCGGCGTCTCAACTGTGGGAATTCGGGTTCGTTTTCTTTCCCACTGTGCAGCGGAATGCATTTAGCCCCACACACATAATACTCGTAAAGCATCCCTCTTAATTTACGGAAAACATGAGCCATAATACTGCCAGGGACGACGATGGGGTTGTGTGCCTCCTTCTAAAATATTCATACGAAGATTCCCTCCCTTGCCTTGTGTTTTTGCCACAAGCATTTTCGGATGGAACCACGTCCGCTGTAGATGGAAAATAATTAACAGCTTTCCCAGCACAGGTGTTAGTCCCAGCACCCCGGAAGTAAGCGTGAATTATAACAACAGGTACGTGCGCTGTTCTATCCGCATGCTTAAAGCTTTAGAAATGTCCCATCACCTTACCTTGAGGACTCTCTCGGTAGCGTCGCCCACCCGCGTTGGTTAGTCCGTTTGAACTTACCTTGCATGTTAGTGTATGAGAAATGCTCTAATAAGCTGGAATATCCTTTTACCCTTCCTGTCTGCACCTAACCATGCAATGCACATGATGCACCGCACAGAGAGAGAGAGAGTGCACCAACAGCAAATTACCTGAACTTCTACGTCGTCCGGTTGCTTCCCAGTAGAGATCCGAACCGGTGGTCGAGGCAGCTTCACAGGACGACGACAACAGCACGAAGATGTGTGATACGACAGGTGCGGGAGTGTGTGTATGTATCATAAGAATGGTGTAAATCATGCATCGCAGAAAGGATCCACCAGTTATCGTGTTGTGCGGAGATGTTGGGTGCATTTTTCAAACATACATGACACACAAGGAGGTAGGGTTTATACACAAAAAACACGGTGCGAATCATACGGTGTGGAGAACGATGGACAGATATGTGGGAATAGATTGAATGAGGAGAAAAAAGTTGTGATACAAGATTAGCTAGCTACTTCAATAAATACGTGGATGTGGGAGTGGAAATTCAAATATACAGGTACTGAGATGTGTTGCTGCAAGGAATCATACTGAAGACGATACAATGTGTCATCAGTCATCATGTTTATAAGATTTCTGTCATCAGAAATGGAAATCTTTTGCATTTGTATTACCTTATGTATCCATAGAATTGTACACACTAAGAATAGTGGAAATGGCTCTAATGTTGGCCTATGGATCTAAGATCGGGGACATCGCTAAAAATCTGCTATTTATCAATTTTATCTAGATGAACGCGTCATTGGGACGGTACTATTTAATAGATATTTTTGGTCGCTATTGAAAATTTAGTCGATTGCTGAATGTATGCATGGGCCCAAATTAGGAGCATTTAGGCCGACATTACATCCATTTCCCCTATATAAGATTTTCTGTCATCAGAAATGGAAATCTTTTCCCGTTTCTATTACCTTATGTTTCCTTAGAATTGTACACACTAAGAATATTTCACAGATTTCTGTGAAATTTGACCGAAATCTCATCAGCTTAAAGTTCGGTGATTTTTCACAGTCATTTATCACACATATTCTGCGAATTTATAGGAACACTGTGAAAAATCACCGAACTGTTTACCAAACGTGCAGCTGTTAAGATTTCGGTAAAATGTCACAGAAATCTGTGAAATATTCTTAATGCGTATACTGTGAATTTTCTTCGAATCATCCTCGCATCTCCACGGAGTAGTTTTCAGAAGTTCCCCAGAGTAATGTAGATATTCTCTCTGGTATTCCCTTAAATTTTTGTTCCATAACACTCTAACAATAATCTATAGAAAATTTCATGATATTTGAAAATACTATAACGAGATTAACTTAAGAACCAGAAGTAACCAACGTCAATTCGCATGTCCACAACATAAAGCCGACGTGCGGCTAACATAGGGCTTCTAAGCTTCATATTGACCGCATGTCAACCCTACATTGCAAAATGGTTACTTAAATGAATTCGTCATCAGGGTGGTTACTGGATTTAGGTCATTGAATTCCCGGTTTTCTCCGAGTGCCCATCATAGTTTTTCCGGTTTCACCATAAAAATATGGAACACGCGCATGTATAAATTTTCAGAACTATTGAAATTTATTAGACTTCGAGCTCGCAACAAAATTGCCAAATCATGTTCCATACAAAAGATTTTAAAAGTCTCAGATTTTTGAAATATTTCTTGGTTGCATGTAAATTCTTCGAATGGTGCTAGGCCGATCGTTATAAAATGATATATTGAATTTGGAAGTTAATTTTAAAACTATAAGAACCACGAAATAATATTGGAATCTCAAACTGAGAATGAAGGTGACGAATGCGATTTTTTTTTGTAATTTTCATGCTAGACCAATTTTTAATATTCTTGGGAGGAGGAGACCAATTTTTAATATTCAATTAGGAGGAGAATTCCAAAGGAATTCGACTAGAAGTTCCAGATAATTTTTAGAAGAATTTCAAGAAATTGTTATAAGAACTAAAGGTCTATTATGGGGATTGAGAGGAGAGTTCCAGGGAAATCATACCAAATTGGAACGCATTTTAGGAAACATTCCACAAGGAAATAAAGAGGAGATTTAAAAGTTGACTAACCTTAGATCAGCTTTTGATGTTCTTGAATTTTTCGAGACATCGCAAAATTTTAAGGTTTAAAGAACACAGATTTAAAAACAAAATCGTAGATTGGCCAAAATTTTAAAATTCTGCCACTTTAAAGAATTGTGCACAGAACTTTAAAGAAGATGATGAATGCGTTGTGAGAAGAATCGTAGACGAATTTTAGGGAGAATTATGAAAGAATTCTGATGAGAATTCTATAGGAATTCGACTGGAAGCTCCAGATAATTAATCATGTTTTGTTGATTTTGAAATCATCCACATCCAGAGGGCCAGTCACTTTCGCATGTACTTGGAAAAAAATCCGTTCCCGAAAACGGGAACGGACCGTGAACTAAAAATCACGGCCAGCTATCCAGAACAAAATTTTCTCAAATATACACCGTGAACTATGGTTCACGGCTGTGGTTCACGAATATGGGAACTCTTTTTTTCCCGTGTATGGGAATGGTAGGAAACCATTTGGAAATGCATGAAAATTTGCAGTTTTTATTCATTATCGTCTTTATGAGCAGTTTTAGATGCACAATAATTGCACGAGTACATTACTATGGCGAAAAGGTAAAAACCCGTTAATTTGTTTCCTTCTGTGAAAGCATGTTTAGTCACAAATCGTGGATTTTCTAATATTCTCCATACTGCAAAAATGATTTTCCTACCGATGAAGGGGTGACATCTCTAGGATCTTCAGTATAGCTGCTACTCAAATCATATAATTAATTTATAGAAGTATTTCACGAAAATTGTTAGGAGAACTATGGTGAGTGCTGAAAAGACTATTATTCGGAGGCCTCTCTTAGCTCAGCCCGTAAAAGTTTAGCTACAAAACAAGACCATGCTGGAGGTGACTGTGTTTCATTCCCGGCCCAGTCTAGGAATTTTTCGGGTCTGATAATTTCTCGACTACCCTGGGCTAAAGTATGATAATGCAAAAAAACGTACAGGCATACAAAGCTCTCAATGCGAATAAGATGAAGAAGGGGATGAAAAGAAGAAGTCTAGGTAAATTTGAACGAATTTCAGGAACCATTCTATAAGGGAATACAGAAGAGATTTCAAAGTTGTTTTAGAGCTGGGACAATTTTGTTTTCAATAAAATTACTTTCAGACAAATGAAATATTGTTGAATTGATATTCAGTGTACAGAATATCATGCTTTCTAGTGCCCAATATTGAAATAAAATAAATTGAGAAAACGTAGAGATGGTAACTATCCGGATATCCGGATAGCGATACTTAAAATTTATTCTCCCTTTAAAAGTTTTCTTTGTTACTGTTCTAAATATTTGTCAAAAAGTTGTTGTTTAGGTGCCCATGTTACCTGATGTAGAATGGCAGATCTGTTAATTTCCAAAATTTAATAAAATTGAAAAACAAACATATCCGGATAAGCCGACTCCCAGCAATAAGTTGTTTAACCTTAAATAAGTCAAACTTGATTATGGGTGCGCTGCAACCCTAACATTGTCCCCAATAATCAAATTATAGATGATCATAATTATCTATGTAACACTTTAACTACGTCAAATGCAGCCAAGGAGGGTCCCTTTTGATACATTATATTTTTTTTTAAACAAACCAGCATACGGCGGAATGTCTCCTACATTTCAATCAATCAACCAAAGAAAATTCTGAGGAGAGCTCCATGGAAACGTCGATAATAATTTAAAGGGAATCAAATTCTGACGATGGCTCAAAACAAAATCTTAGTTGTATTTCAAGCCAGCTAATAAATTGCTTCAAGGAAGTTCCTAGAAGACATAATATTTAGTATTTTTATGGTCAACAAGGAATTTTCTTTAGGAACCCAAAGAGAACAATTCCAAGGGTATTTTGAACATATTTGCAAAGAATTATGAGCAGCATTACAGGAAGATTAGGAAGATGGTTTCCCTCCCTATTCCTAATCTAGATCTTAGGAAGATGGTTTTGGGGCCTCCCTTAGCTCAGTCGGTAAGGTAAAGGCGCAGCTACAAAGCAAGACCATGCTGGAGGTGGCTGGGTTCGATTCCCGGTCCTGTCTAGGGACTTTTCGGGTTGGAAAATTTCTCGACTTCCCTGGGCATAGAAGTATGATTGTACTTGCCACACAATTATACTAATGCAAAAATGATACCAGGCATAGAAAGCTCTCAATTAATAACTGAAGAAGAAGTAGGAAGATGGTTTCAAGAGATTTCTAATGAAATCCAAAGAGAATTCCAAGGAAATTCCAAGAGATTTTCTCAGGCATATTTCGAGAAAAATTTCTAGGAAATTCTGAAAAACAGTCCCAAGGATTTTTTTTATAAGAATTCCAAAGTAATTTAGGGACTTTATGTACACACTAAGATTATTTTATCGAAATCTGTGAAATTTTACCGAAATCTCGGTAAACAGTTCGGTGATTTTTCACAGATTTTCTGAGATTTTTCACAGATATTCGATGTAAAATTACAGGAAAACTGTGAAAAATCACCGAACTGTTAACCGAACATTCAGCTGTTGAGATTTCGGTAAAATTTCACAGATTTCGTAAAATAATTTAAGTGTGTAATTAGGGCGTTCTACATAATTCTGATAAGAAATTCTAGAAAATTCTGAGGCGAACTTCAAGCGAATTCTGTGGAGAAATTTTCTAGAATCTGTGACATAGAAAGCTTTCAAGGTTCAAAAACAAAGTTATGCCGGGCAACGGACATAAAAATTGAGATAGCGAAGCGAAGAAACAGATCAAGATTTTGGACTAGAAAAAAAAACAGAGCAACTTATTTTAAGGTTAGGTTATCTTTATTAGCGAGAGTTTCAGCCAGAGGCTGGTTCATGTTTTAACATATTTTAAGGTTTAAACCGAATTCCCGGTTATTTCCCGGTTGTTTTCGATTCCCATTTAGTTTTCAGTTTTCCGGTTCATATCTGCGTCATAGGAGCTTAAAATGCTCGTGCCAGGAAGGCAACTCCCACATCTGGACCCTACCTATCGACCCATCAACTCATGAACCGGGGAGCAACGGCTTTACTTCTCATCCGAAGGAAGGCGTGATCAGAGATGTTATGCCTCAGAACATCCCGGTGGCGCCGACTGGGATTG